CTCTGGCAAAACACAGTACCCAAAAGAAGAGAGAGAGAACAAGGGGGAATGCCCTGCCACAGCGGCAGGGTGGGACGGGGGAGGGGGATGGGGGGTGGGAGGGATGCTAGGACCCGTGGTGGTGGAGGATGGGCGCTGGTGGAGGGATGGGTACTTGATCATTGTATAACTGAAACCCAAGCACAAAAATTTATAAGTCTATAAATGTACCTCATGGTGTTTCACTAATAAAAAAAATGATTAAATTAAAAAAAAAAAGATGTTGCATGAAAAAAAAATGAGCCCTTGAAGCCCAATCCCCTAATAAAAAAAAGCATGAGTTAGGAGAAATTTTAATTGGTAATATGAATGATTGTCTAATACCATACATAATGCAGTTAACAGCATAAAAACAAAAATAATACTTATATTATTACTAAGACAAGGTACCCACCCTCAGGCTGCTTATGATTCATGGAAAGAATGAGGACAAACATCATGGATCAGTGAAAAATGGCACACGATGGTCACACTCAAGAGATGGGTGTTGAGTGTTATTGATGAGAACTGTAATAATTATCTCAACACTGTTACCCCAAGAGTTTCCTGATTTCTGATTCTGTTTCAGGTCAACGTTTACGGTTGCCACCGTGAGCCTGTCCTTTCTGTGTTCCATCACACTATGGTTGACTGTGTTATTGAGGAGTGGGTGCTTGATCATTGTATGACTGAAACATAAGCATGAAAATTTGTAAGTCTGTAACTGTACCTCATGGTGATTCATTAAAAAATAATAATAATAAAAATAATTAAACAGGTGGAGGGAAATAATTCACCTGAGAACATCAGTAAGATGTTTGGAAATGTATGTATTTTTTTGGTTTGGGGGGGTCATACCCAACAGGGGTCCAGGCTTACTTTTGTCTCTGTGCAGTTGGTGCATCCTGGTGGGTCACATGGGATCATATGCTTGCTAGAGATCAGAGCAGGGCTGGTTGTGTGCAAGACAAATTGCTAACCCCTGTGCTGTCTTCCTGGCCCCTGGAAATGTCTTTAATTAGACCTCCTTTTGATTCAAAAACTGTCTTTTAAAAATTGATTAGAAAACTGTTTTTTTTCCCAAATTTTTATATATTTTGGGAGGTTTAGGGCCACACCTGGCTGTGCTGGCATACTCCTTGGCTCACAACCCAGAGATCACTCCTGTCAATGCTCAGAGTACCATAAGGGAGTACTAGAGATCAAGGTAGGGTCGGTATTGTGTCTTAACCCTTTATAGTATCTCTAAAACTCTGAAAGTTGTATTTTTTAATACAGTTTTCAGTTATTCAGTTGAAAATGGAGAGTAAGGGAACTTATATAAGAATCCCCTCCCGATCCTCTCAGCATGGGAGAAGCATGCTGAAAGTAGACTATAGACCAAACATGATTGCCACTCAATGCCTCTTTTGCGAAACAAAATGCCCAAAAGGAGAGAGAGAACAAAACGAAATGCCTTGCAACAGAGGCAGGGAGGGACAGGGGGGATAAGGGGTGGGAGGAATACTGGGATCCGTGGTGGTGGAAAATGGGCACTGGTGGAGGGATGGGTACTTGATCATTGTATAATTGAAACCCAAGAACAGAAATTTGTAAGTCTACAACTGTACCTCATGATGTTTCACTAATAAAAATTAAAAAAAAAAAGAATCCCCTCCCTAGGGCCAGAGACAGAGCATAGTGGGATGAGCACTTGTTCTGCATGCAGGAGGCCCAGGTTAGTTCCTTGACTCAGAATGACCCAAGCACAGCCCTGAGTGACCCCTGAGCATAGAGCTGAGAGTAGTGCCCAGGCCTGGCCCATACACGTGGCCCTAAAAAAATCATCTCCCTAATTCAGACCCTGGGAGGTAATTGTAGGAAAAATCGGAGTGAGAGACCATTTTTAGCTCATTGCAGTGTTACCATTTCAAGTATCTCACAGCAGGAGCTGCTGGGTGTTAATGAATAGTTTCCTCAGGCCTCCCTTGAATGGGGTGATAATCTTGCTACCTGTGTGCCCTGATCATCATGATTTTATTTTCTTTATTTTGCAAAATTATCCAAAGGTTTGATTTGCTTAAAAGTCTATTTCAGAAGTTTGTTAACTATCGCTGTAGTCCTTTCTTAAATTGTTAGCTAAGTTGTCTTCTGAGAAAGCAAGTTTCTGTTTAGCTCAGAATTCCACATTTTGAATAGCAGTAATAATTATCATAAATCGCTCTTTATTGAATGTTTTTTCAATAAGTAAGGAAGATTTTTATTCAATAAATGATTAAGGGTGGTTGGAAATTTTTCAGAGCTCTTGTAATTGTATTCTAGTGTTTCTGTAGTTTGTTTGAACTATAGGACCACAGTGTATTTGTTTATAATTTTACTAAATGGGATAGGATGAATCGTGACTGAGAGAAAAATGAGTGGTAAACAAGCCAATAAAATTGCTAGTTGAATTCACTGAGGAGAAGAAGGAATTATTTGAATTATGTTTTTGTATAATTAACATTTATTAAGTGTCTTCTGGGTAACAGGCACTGTTAGCTACGTTTACATCTGCTATTTGATTTAATTACAGTCAGTTCCTCACATCCAGATTTGGTTTCCCAGGGGCTTTCTTGACTAATGAGTTATCTTAGCTGACTGCTCAGTCCTTTTTGCACATTATAGTCACCAGGGGCACTTTGGAAAACTCTGATACTGGAGTTTCATCCTGAGAATCTGTTGAATTTTGTAGGGTATTGAAAAAGTTTTTTCTCCCTCTTTTATGAATTCTGCTTAAGCCAGAGTGGAAGCTATCCTGCTAGATTATCAAGAGATCTTATTTCACTTGCAGGAAAATACTGCTTAAATTTTTCAGAAATAAGCAAAGCAGCTTGGGTAATTGAGTTTGCTAGACAAGGTGGAATAAGCAAAACATCTGTTTTTCTTTGCCCGTTTCCTATTAATTGGGATGTGGGAAGTGTCAGAATATTCTTGAATATAGCAGGCTAAAAAAAAATGATGTCCTAAATGTCTCAGGCCCAGAATTCCGGGGGTATATCATGTTTAGCCTAGGTTTTTTTGCTCTGTGGGGTATCAAAAACACCGGTGACTTCCATATATGTTTTGTGGGGGTTGCATTTTAAAGAAAAGGGAACTATTTAAGTAACCTACACATGAAAGACATTTTTTTGAAGTGCAGGATAGTCTTTCTCTCTCTCTCTCTCTCTCTCTCTCTCTCTCTCTCTCTCTCTCTCTCTCTGTAGACAGAGACACAGAGAGAGACAGAAAAAGTACAGATCAGAGAATAAAAGAGTTTAGAGGACAGAATTAGGAAACATTTTTAGAGATGGAATGGGGCCGGAATTTATAGGTCAGATAACTTTATAAAACATTATCTGGGAGATGTAGTTCAGTGGTTGAGCCTTCTTTTGTGTATTTAAGAACCTGGGTTTCATCCCCTCTCCACTTCTCATAACCAAGTATATCTCTTGTAGCTATAGGTATGAAATTGGGGTGAGCCACATGCACAAGTTTCTTAACACCTGTACTGTCTCTCCCACTCTACTCAGCTTTTATTTTTTGGGGGGGATCACATCCAATAGTGCCCAGGACTTCTAGCTCATGCTCAGGGCTTACACCTGGCTCTGATCTTGGAGGTCACTCCTGGTAGATTGGAGATCATATGAGGGGCTGGGGATAGAACCCAGATTGGCCTTATTTGCTGTACTATTACTCCAGCTCCGGCTGTTTTATAAATCTGGCCAAAGAACCAGAAAAAAAGAGAAGCCAACCTTCATGTAGTGGAAGACAGAGTATGAGGGATCAATTGTCATTGTGTGTGTGTGTGTGTGTGTGTGTGTGGTGTGTGTGTGCATGCGCGTGCATCTATAGAGTATGGGATGTGTTGTATGCATGTGAAGACTAATATTCATAATTTGGTTTGTTTCGTGGGGGTCACTAAAGGTGCTTGAGGGACATGCAGTGTGGTGCCAGAGATTGAATTTTGAATTTGGGCATCCCGCTGGCAAGGCATATGCTCCAGCCCTTTGAGCTAGCTCTCCGTCCCAAGAATTTTATAGCACATTCATGCAACAACAGGAAGTACAAGAAAAAAGCTTAAGTTGGCACATAGAAGCAGAGCAGGCCAAAGCAGTAAGAGTGGCTGAAATGACCAGGGATGGTGTTCTTCTGGGGCGAGTAGACGCGGCCTCTAAACCTTCTGTGAATAAAATGAACCTGCTGGAGTGGCTTCCTGTTGTTTAAGCAATGTGTGAAAAGCAAAGAGAAAGCACTAAGTGGCTAAAGATCTATCAAAATGAAGGTCGGAAAGGCATTTTCTCTGTGTTCCATGAAGTCAGTGTCTATCCCCTGAAGACCTTGTTTTCCCTTCGCTCTAAATGCTGGTGAGTGTGTGTATATGAGATGTTCTTGAACTGTGGTCGCATGAAAATTCCATTCGTTCTTAAGTTTTTTGTCTCTGTTGGAGATGTTGAGGCTGGCGAGAAGGGTGTCATGCACATTTATTTTCCTTTCTCTGTGGTATAGAAACATAAAGCAGGAAGTGATTCAGGAACAGAATGACTAAAAGTAGTTTAAGTTGAGCTGAACATTTCTCAAGGACCAAGACTTGGTGCTATACCTATCTCAGAATCCCAGCATTCTTTATCTTAGAATTCAAAGCTTGAAGGAATAACAGCACAGCCAACTCTCTATCCTCAGTCTTAGGAGTTTAGTTTGGGTTTTGGGTCTTGCTATGCTGCCCTAAGTTTCTTAGCCTCTCTGAATCCTCACTTTTTTTTTGAATCTCTATTTATTCGTAATATAAAAGACTATTTTGCACATTCATTGAGAAAATGTTTGTTGAAACTATGTTCTGTAAACTGATGATCTAAGGAAATGGAATTTGGGGTTGATATTCTCAGGGTATGTCTCTGGCATGGGAAATAACACAAGTGGCTAGATTTGCTGAAGGTTAATTGCGTACTGAGCGCTGTCCTAATCGACTTAACTTCTCTATTTTACAGGAGAAGAAACTGAGGCCTGGAGTTTGAGTAATTTGTTCAAGCTTACCAAGTTGGTAAGTAACAGCTGGATTCAAGGTGGCCATCTGGGTCCAAAGCTGAGAGCTGTATCTGAACTATCTATCTTGTCGATGCTTCATACCAGTGCTAGAAAGTTGTGATTCAAAGAAGGGAAGTCTTTTGCTCAAGTGCACTCTACTAAGGCACGTCTTGGACCACTCAGGCTGCTATTACAGAATTCCACAGATGGGTGTTATATAACAGCATATATTTTTTTTTCCTCCTCAAAGTTATGGAAGCTGAGAAGTCCAAGGTCATGGGGTTAGTAAGTCCTTAAGGTCCTGGTTCGTGCAGACCTTCTTTCACTATATGACCTCACTGGTAATAAGGATAAGGGTAAGAAGGAGTGTGGAAGATCTCTGGGGGTCTCTTGAATAAGGGCACTAATTCCATCTGTGAGGACTCAACCTCACAAGGTAATTACCTCCCATAGACCCTTCCTCCCAATGCCAGCACACTAGAGATTAGATTTTCAGCATGTGAATTCTGGGGACACACAGCAGTTCTCTGCAGGGGTCAACTCACTATGCATCAATGCTCAAATCTTAATTGTACAGCTTAAATAATCTGTAATATGTTACACACCCCAGCATCACCCAGATTAAGTAATAGAATTTTCCATCCCTCTAGGAAGCTCCTTCATGTTCTGTTGCAGTTAATTTTTGCAGTTAATTTCTGCCCCCAGAGTTCACCTCTATTCTAATGTACAAAAGTTGTGTCGTGGTTGTATGTAAATATACTTGCTTAAAAAAATAACCTAGGGTCTGGATTGACAGTACAGGACCCTGCACGTGCCCAACCCAGGTTCAATCTATACCACCTCATCATTTCCCTGGGCACTGCAAGGAGTCATCCCTTAGCACAGAACCAGGAGTAAGCCTGAGCACAGCTGGTCATCACAAACCCCAACCCCCAACCTTCACCTCTGCAAAAAAAAAATACTAACTAAAAAATAACATTTTAAATAGCATGGGTAGAGGGCTGGAGTGACAGTGGGTAGGGTGTTTGTTTTGCACACGGCTAACCGGGGTTCGATTCTCAGCATCCCATATTGTCTCCCCAGCACTGCCAGAAGTAATTCCTGAGTGCATGAGCCACGACTAACCCCTGTGTAACTTCAGGTGTGACCCAAAAAGCACTGTCCTCCCATTGTTCATCGATTTGCTTGAGTGGGCGCAGGAAAGTCTCCATTGTGAGACTTGTTGTTACTGTGTTTGGCATATCGAATACGTCATGGGGAGCTTGCCAGGCTTTGCTGTGCGGGCAAGATACTCTCGGTAGCTTGCCGGGCTCTCTGAGAAGGGTGGAGGAATCGAACCAGGGTCAGCCACTCTGGCTGCATGTAAGGCAAACACCCTACCGCTGTGCTATTGCTCCAGCCCAACCCAAAAAGAAAGAAAAAAAATAGCATGGGTAGTCCTTCTCATTTCAGTGTGAGTATGAATGATACACTCAGATATGTGCCTTTGGCTGGTCTTTGCTTCTTTGGCTTTTTATTTTTTTTAATTAAAATAAAATTTTTTTTCAAATTAAGTTTTTTAAAAAATGTTAAAAGTACCAAAAGTATCCTTCCCACATATATGCCTGACTGGGAATACCTGTAAAGGTGATTAGAGGCTGCCCCAAAGCCTCCATCTCTCTCAGAGAGCCTGGCAAACTGAGAGTAGCCCGCACACACCTCAGAGCCTGGCAAGCTACCTGTCACCAATGAGAAATTAAAAATGTAGGCCCATATTTGTGAACTCTTAATTTTTATTCTCTTTGAGACATGATCCTCAAGCTGCAAAATAACAACAAAACTCATCCAGTACCATGAAAATCCTTAGCACAAACACAAAATTACTCTCTAAGGATATTTTAACAGCCTAGAGCAAATGCATGCCAACATAAAAATTATCTTCTCTGAAAATGAGTTTACAGTGAAATGTTATAAATGGTATTCATGAAATTAGCTACTTCAATTTGGAAGTAATAGAACCTATCTTAAAAAACCTCTAAAAATGGTATATTTAAAATTGGGGTTGAAGAGTTAATATAGGGGTTAAGGCACTTACATTAAATGCAGCTGACCCCAGTTTTATCCCTGGTACCATTTATGGTCCCATTAGTACTATTGAGAGTGTTCCCTAGCACATAACCATAAGTAGTCCCAAAGCATTACTGCGTGAGGCCCAAAATCCCCTGTCTAAAAAAGAACCCTTAAGAATAAATGACTAAGATTTGTATAAAACTAAAAGAGGACCAGAAAGTTAGCACAGAGGGTTGTAGTGCATACCAGATATGTGCTGTACCCAAGTTTTATCTCTGGCTCTATATGCCCCTCCCAGGAATCACTGTGTGTGATCCTCGTGTTCCCAAGTATTGGGCCCAGCAGCACTGCATCATTGGGCCCGATCACTGAAACACAGGCTTGCAAACACAGGCCAAGTAACACTGATGTCCTTGGATCCCCTGAGCAGTGCTTGGGACAGTGGAATATAGTTCTAGCTTTCCTCCCACCCAAAAAAATTAAAAAAGGAAAACATTGGAAAGTTAAAAAAGATCAAGTGTAGAAAATCAACCAAATTGAGATAAAAAAAATGGAATTAAAATCAAATGGGTAGGTGGATTAAACATAGGCAAAGAGAGAATTAGTGAATTGGAAACCAATAATAATAGCCTTTGTTAAAGTGCTTAATGTGTGCCAGACAGTATTCATTTATTAATTCATTTTGACCTCAGAATAAAATGATAAGAAAAGCATTGTTATAAAAATTTATAATTTACAGATGAGATCAACTAAGACACAGCAGGTAAAAGGTACTTGTCCAAGGTCATGCAGTGGTGGTAGAGGTGGGATATGGTCTTAGGCTGTCTAGTGTAGCATAGAGTCTGTGTTTATAGTTTCTGCATGGCAAAAATGATCAAGAATAGGGCCAAAGAGATAGTACCAAGGGTACTGGCGATTGAACTTAGGGTCTCGCTCATGTGATGTGTTCTACCACTGTTTAACATAGTAGTCAGACATACTAAAAAGGACATATTAAAAAAATTAAAGTATCTAGGGTTGGAGAGATAACACAGTCTGTAGGGCATTTGCCATGCATGCAGTTAACCCAAGTTTGATCCCTGACACCTCATATAGTCCTCCAAGCCTGCCAGGAGTGATCCCTGAATGGAGATCCAGGAGTAATCCCTGAATGCCTCTAGGTATGGCCCCCCACCAAAAAACCCAAAATTAAAAATATTTTTATTTAAGTTAAGATTAAGTGTTTTACATGTGTAACATTAAAAAGCAACCTGTGTGTATACCGCTCTTAAATTCAGTTCTGTCCTTCACAATAGAATTGTTTTTACTGCTTCACCATGGGGCTGGAGCGATAGCACAGTGGTAGGGCGTTTGCCTTGCACACAGCCAACATGGCCGACCCGAGTTCAATTCCTCCGCCCCTCTCGGAGAGCCTGGGAAGTTACCGAGAGTATCTCGCCCGCACGGCATAGCCTGGCAAGCTCCCCGTGATGTATTCGATATGCCAAACACAGTAACAACAAGTCTCACAATGGAGACATTACTGGGCCCGCTCGAGCAAATCGAAGAACAATGGGAGGACAGTGACAGTGACAAGCTTCACCATAAATTTTATCTTCATCTTCTATCTGTTTATGCACTCCTCTTGCCCATTTTCTTCTGGCAAACCAATAATTTTGCTTAGCATCCAAAAGTTAGACTTTTTAAAAAATTTTCTTTAGTATGTTCATCTATACACCATTTCTCTATGTATCATTTTTGTATAACATATGAAAGAAATCACACAAAGTTTGCATTTTTTAATTTTTTAAGATGAGGCAATATGTAGGAGGCTATGTGTATGTTTTCAGGTATGAAGAAGAAAGGGAGGAACTGGAGTGATAGTACAGTGGGTAGGGCGTTTGCCTTGCTCATGGCCGACCAAGGTTCAATTTCCAGCATCCCATATGGTCTCCCGGGCACCGCCAGGAGTGATTCCTAAGTGTAAAGCCAGGAGTAACTCCTTGCATCGCTGGGTGTGACACAAAAAGAAAACAAAAAAAAAAGAAGAAGAAGAAAGGGAGGTGTAAGTGCTGACACATGAGCACACTCGTACACTCGATTATGCATAGCCTGTTGCTGGAACGGTACCACGAAAAGGTTGAAGGCTGTTGAGCTCTTCAGAAAGATTGGTGGGATCTTGGGCCTAGGGTGGATGGAAGATTGCATACTGTGTAGCTGTTGTACAGAGTTTTGATTTTGTAAACATAAACATGTCATTTTTTTTTATTAGTGAAACACCATGAGGTACAGTTGTAGATTTACAATTTTTTGTGCTTGGGTTTGATTATACAATGATCAGATACCCATCCCTCCACCAGTGCCCATTTTCCACCACCATGGATAATATCCCCCCCACCCCCATCCCCCCATCCCCCCCTGCCTCTGTGGCAGGGCAATCCCCTGTGTTCTCTCTCTCCTTTTGGGTGTTGTGGTCTGCAAAAGAGGCATTGAGTGGCAAACATGTTCAGTCCATAGTCCACTTTCGACATGTCATTTTTTTTAAATACAAAAATAATGGAGTTAATGAAGAAACACTTCACCTTGGGATTTTTCCAACATTTTTTGAGAAGAAAGGAAGATCTCTGGGGAAGCACATCTCCATCAAGCAGAAAGCAGCATTTCTGTTTTTGTGTGTGCACAAGTGAAGGAGGGTTGGAGGCCACCCCATCTGTTCTTACGTTCTATCCCTAACTGTGTGCTCAGGGGAACACATGCAGGGCCAGGGATCAAACCTGGGTCAGAGGTGTGCGGAGAAAGCACCTAATCCTCCTCACTATCTCTGTAGCCCAGATTCAGGCATTCTGGAATGCGTGCCAAGTAACAATTCCTCCCTTTTTGGGACTCAGTGCTTACATGTCCCCACACCATAAGTCTTTCCATTCCATTTGTTGCGTGATTCTGTCTGGGCCTTCATAGCTGCTGGTCAAGGTGTATTAAGCAGTGATC